GTATAAAGTCAAGTTAGTTACAATATTTAAGAAAAATACTTTAATATTTTTTATACATTTTTTTTGGTAAACATATTTTTTATACATTTTTAAAAAACAGAACTTTTATAATTACTTATGAATAAAATTTATATGTTTATGTTAATTAGTAAGTTACATCTTTATAGGAAAATTATAATTTTGTAAAATAATTAAAGAATATTATTTATTTGTAAAGCATTATAAGCATTATAAGCATTATAAGCATTTGTACGTGATTTTCAAAAAGTAAGCAATAATGTTCGCGTGTTTGATTATGTTTGATTTTTTTATTCTTAAAACTGTTTTGTATAATAGTTAATAATATATATATATATATATATATTTAAAGTTAAAAGTCAAAACAAAAACAATTCAGATATATTTAAAAAATTTGATTTAAAAAAAAAAAGAGTTACAATTTTTTAATTTTTTTTTATAAAACAGATTTCGTCAAACAATTTTTTTTTCTTCTAAAAATTAAAAAACTATTTATCAAAACAGATTTGAAACACTCTCGTAATAAGCCACTTCTTTAAACATCGGGAAAAATAGACTTGAAAAAGATTCCCAAAAAAAGCGTACGAGAGTCGAGACCCATATGTCTCACTTATTTTTCCTTTGTCTCTAGTTTCATTCGACATTAATATGCAAGCGATCTAATTCCTCTCAATAATAGCGGTGGCAATAGTTGTTTTTTTTTTTTTTCCTTGTTCGGCACGCATGTTTTATTTTAATCCTTATCTTATTTTCATTTGTTATTAATGAAGTAAAATTATGAAAAAAAAATTTGATTTGATCCCTTTTTATTTTATTCTAAATATTAAAATTGATTTGCAATTCAATAGAAATTATGTTTTGTAAGGTAATTTGTAAACATTATTATTTTTTAAATAAAATCGTATTTATTTATAATATTTATAAAAACTGGTTGAATGTTTTTGTTTTTTTTTTTTGAAAACTGATCCTAATTACCTATTTGAGGCGAATCAGAATCCCGTGATATCCTCATGGGTTCAACTCTTTGAGTCGCATAAGGGACTAATCCAGAGTTCGGGTGCGAGTCCAAGAATTACGGTACTTATACCTCTCTCCAGATAGTGTTGGTGGAATTCAAACCGAGGTTCTCTCGCACCACTCAGTTCCTATGCTACCAAATGAGTTGCCACACTTGGATAATGTTTTTGTTTTTATTCTTATGCCGTCAACTAATTTTGATTCTCGTGGAAGTGGAACAGACGACAGTGAAACTATGACGAATTTATTTTTCTTAATAAGTTATGACGAAAAATTTTGGTTTGGAAAGAGCACGCGTAAATTACCATTACTAGATGCTTTGCATAGCTTTCCAAAATAATATGGTTTCTAGAGTAGGAAAAAAAATTAAAATATTACATTTTTAATAATTAATTATGAATAAGTAGCAGTTTGGAAATTATACAAATTTATTGTAGTCATTCACGTTCAAATTAGGCGTGAGTATTCACGCCTAATTTGGGCATGACTCCCAAAGCATTCACGCCTAAATTAGACGTGACTCGTCTGGTGTTGACTCGTGTCACAAAAAATTAATAGTTTAATCTTAAAATTTTATAAGGCCATAACTTTTGACTCGGGTATCCGAATGAGGTAATTCTTTTTTTGATTCCACGTAATTTTTCGAGATCTACGTAATGACATCTCATTTGATATATTTTATCTCTCACAAACATAATTCAAATTTAAAGTGGATTAACTTATTTATAAATAAGATGACACCAAATTTCCTATTAAATACAAAACGCAAAAATACAAAACGCAATCAACTCCTATAACATTAAATTCAAAATTCAAATAACCACCAGCAAATTTATTTGAATTGGCGACAATATGTAACCAACTCATAAAATTACAACGCAATCAGCTCCTATTAAATACTAAACACAATCAACTCCTATTAAATACAAAATACAATCAACTTATTGGAGGTTATTTGAATTTTGAATTTAATGTTATAGTACCATTATTGGGCATGAATGACTGCAATATATTCGTAATTAGGTTCAAAACGGCAACTTATTCGTAATTATTTGTTAAAACGACAATATATTCATAATGTTATTTAATTATTTTCTTTATAAATACAGATTTTTCAAATTGATTTTTGAGTTTAAATTAAATCTTTATTTTGTTTTTCTTATTAATAATAATTTTTTAAATTTTTTTGGTAATACACTATATAATACAAGTATTGCAAATTTGAATTGTGTTTGTGAAGATAAAATATATTAAATGAGATGTCATCGCGTAGATCTCAAAAAGTTATATGAAATCAAAAAAAGAATTAACTCATTCGGATACCCGAGTCAAAAGTTATGACTTTTCAAAGTTTTACGGTTCGTAAGTTGACTTTTTTTGCCACGTGTCTACACCAGATGATTCACGTTTAAATTAGTCGTGAATGCCTAGGGAGTCACGCCTAACATAGGCGTAACTATTTATGCCTAATTTGAGCGTGAATGACTGCAATAAATTTGAATATAATTTTCAAACTACTACCTATTCATAATTAATTATTAAAAGTGTAATATTTTAATTTTTTTTTTTGACTTGTAGTAGAGTATAATCTAAAAGACGGGATTTGCCAGCAAATGAAATTGGTACTTGTTTGTGAGTCGTGTCTCAACCTCTTCCTTTCCGATTAAGGAAAATTTCTAGCTTGCAACAATTAATGTTTACTGTAGAAAAAATTTCAACATTAATCTTGAGTTTAAAATTTGTGTCCGATGTGCCCAAAATTAGAGATAGAAACATGATGATTATCAGTATCATACGATACACGATATGATTCACTAACCCAGCGATATGTATGATAGAGTATATCAGAAAGAAATTTATATTGGGCGATACGATATTGTATCATATGATACGATACGTGTATTATACTATACAAAAATTAAATTAAAATTTGTAATTTGTAATATAAAAAGATAAAGATTTGATTCATGATTTAAATTTTAAAAAAATAAAAAATTATTATTAATAAGAAAAAGAAAATAAATAATGATAAGCGAAAAGAAAAAATGTTCATGAGATTGTTGAATAAAAAATGAGAGATGAGTCAGATGACTATCTTAATGAAGAAAATGATGAATTAGTTATGTCACTAATAAATACTAATAGTGATAATATTAGTTTTAATGATTGATGAGCAAGAGAATAATTGATTTGCACTTTAGTTATTTATGTATTTTGCTTATTCAATTCTTTTTGCAATTTAGATTTATATGATATTAATTATATTATATATCTTAAATTATTTTATTATTATACTTTTGTATCTTACGATTCCAAACGATTTATGATAAAATGATACAAACAATTTGCCAAATAATATACGATTATTATTGCGATTCAATAACTTTGGGTAGAAATATTTTTCAAGTATACATTAATTTTTGTTCTTGAAACATAACTTCACATGATTAAAGGAAATTCGGATATACTTAGGATATTGCTAGAGAATATTCGGGACGCAAGAACACTATCAAGATTCTTATTGATGATACCACTAGGATTAGCCTAGTGGTGTGGGGTGTGTGTGTGTAGTGTAGGTGTTGTGTTCAATTCCTTGTAACCTCAAAAAAAAAATTTTCTTATTGATGATAATAAACCCCATTTTCATCTAAGAAGAAAACACATATAAAGGGGACTAGACTGACTCAGTTAACATGGGTAATTGAAATGTGTGAGTCTAACAAAATGTAGGAATTTTTTTTAAAGTTATTTTACGAAAATACATTAATAACATTTAATATTTTCCAAATAAAAGAATTTTCTTTTTAATTTGAAGCTCCTTGTTTAGACAAAGGGAAAACTTTAAAAAAAAAAAGATAAAGATAAAGATAAATGCTAGGATAAATCTTCGAAAATCTACCTATTAGTGGTTTGTCGTGCAAAAAACTTCAATACTTTTCTTAAAATTGACGATTTGTTTTACCTTATATTCTGGGACACAATTGCAAGAATGCTGCACTAGTAAACAGGTATAACGCGTCCCACTTTCATGAATGCCTATGGTATAATTTAATTTAGCGGTAATATCCCACTACAAGTCTACTCCACTTGCTGACACCAGATTATTCTACACCACCACCAAGAAAACTCTCCCATGTGATCTGAATGGTTCGTTCCTCCTTTTTCCAATTACCCCATTACCTACCTCATAACAAACCAAAGCATAGCTAGCCTCATGGCGGTGCCTGTTTTCTAAAGTGTGATGCAATGTGCAATAAGTACCTTTTTTTCCCACACTATAAAATTACGCAAAAATAAAATAAAAAAATAGACATTATTCTAAATATCATCTCTCATGTAAAATTTGCATTTATCTCTATTCATGTAAATTTTTAATGTTAAAATTTGGAATGGGATAATTCAAAGGAGTAACAATGAATCACTCCTTCACTTTCCAAGTTGCATGTCGGCTCCCAAAAGATGTTGACAAGGAAAAGTCATGGGATGCTTAATCCACTGGTGTGCCGGCTGCTGTGGACGAACTCAAATATTTGAAACGCGTTCATTATTCACATCCCTTAGACACCAAAATAAATAGAAAGAAGAACCTTTCTTTTGTACTTTTTGGTGGACTTTGACATTGAACTTGGAATACGGAATTGGTCTTCCTTCAGACTTCACTTGGTTGAGTAGGTTCTCAGTCCCTTCTCCACTTCTCTCAATGTCAGTGTCTTACATTACTTCTCCACCTCCAAAATAAAAATAAAAATAAAAATAAAAAATAAAAAACAATCTCAAAATTGACACTTTCTTTGACCGACCTTGGCCAACAAGAAACTTTCCTTAATGGACCTAAAAAACGTGCTCCACTATAAGCCACCTGTATTCTACCTGTTAATTTAAAAATAAATAAATAGTGAAATTAGCTTGCACACCGCGCTTAATTGCTCACCACTTGTCACGCAACTTCCATCAAATTTTCACCTCCTTATAAACACACCACACACCATTACTACTCTCACTCAAAAACACAAACACAAAAAATCAAAACTCTCTAAAACAGCACAACCCAATTCAAAAAAGTCTCTCTTTTTAACACTCCCACATAGCATTTGAGTTATATAGAATCTCAGACATGGCTCTGGAAGCTCTCAACTCACCCACCACCGCTACCCCACCTTTCACCTTCGATGATCCAAGCTTGAAGCGAAAGCGTTCCAAGCGTTCACGCTTGGACCACCCTTCATGCACCGAGGAAGAGTACCTCGCTCTCTGCCTCATCATGCTCGCTCAAGGCAGGACCACCACCACCACCACCGCTTTCAACCGCCACACTCATCCTCTCCCTGACTCACCGCCACAACCGACCACCGCTCCCTCCAGTGCCCCCAAGCTTAGTTACAAATGTTCCGTGTGTAACAAAGCTTTCCCCTCTTACCAAGCACTTGGTGGACACAAGGCCAGTCACCGGAAACTATCCGCCGGCGGCGATGATCAATCCACGTCCTCAGCCGCCACAACTAGTTCTGCTAACACCGCCACCGCCGCCGCATCCAACGGCGGAGGTAGGGTTCACGAGTGTTCCATCTGCCACAAATCCTTTCCCACCGGACAGGCCTTGGGGGGACACAAACGTTGCCACTACGAAGGTGGTTCTGGTGCTGGTGGTAGCGGCGGTGGTGGCAGCGCTATCACCGCCTCGGAAGGTGTTGGATCGACCCACACCATAAGCCACAGCCACCGTGACTTCGATCTAAACATCCCTGCTTTTCCAGACCTTTCAACCAAGGTCGGAGAAGACGAGGTTGAAAGTCCTCTGCCAGTGATGAAGAAGCCCCGTCTTTTCGTGTTTCCCAAGATCGAAATCCCTCAAATCCAATGAATTAATTGAATTTTTATATGAGTTTTCTTTTTTCGATTATTTGGAAAATTTTGTGTTATTTGTTTATGTACAAACTTAGTACTTGGAGTCTTGTACTCTGTTTTCTGGTTTAGGTTGTACTTTTGACAGTTGCAATTCAATTCAATTTATTTATTTAATTTTATTTGTGAAAATCAATCTGATTTTGTTTCAAGAAATGCCCGTGGAATCGCCGTCATGAAACGGCAAAGCCCGCGTCGTGGGTGCGGCAAGTCCTGGTGGCAGTGCCTCTTGTGAATTCTGTTGAAACCACTTGCGCATGTTTCTGTATCTGTGACTGTGGGTGTTGTTGACAGTTTTTACTGTTGGAAAAAAGCACACTAAAACAGCTACAGTACGTTATATTCATTAAATAAATTTACACACTATATTCAAATCCTATCGGTTAATGTTAATGTGAAACAATATACATTATGAAAATGAATAAGAAACATTATTGATTATTCCTTCGTGCACATAAGCGCTTGTTATACCTCTTTTTGTCTCCCACTTTCATTTCTTTTTCACTCGCAACAGTTTAAATAAATAAATAAATGAATGAATGAATGCTTAATATTCTTTTAATGATAAAAAAAAAGGTATGTAGAACAGAGGACTTTTTCATCCTTTTGTTCTTCATTAATTATTTAATAACTATTTTGTTCCTTATTTAAAACTATTTACCAATCTATCCCTCTTTAATCGAAAAATTTAATTGATTAAATAGTCAAAATAGTCAAAAATCGTTGACTTGAAAATTTAGTCGATTAAATCTCTCGTACATAAGATTGTTCTTCTTATAAAAAGAAGATTTAATCGATTAAATAAAGAGATTTAATCGACTAAATCTTCATTTGACCATTTAATCGATTAAATATTCAATTTAATTAATTAAAGAGGCACAGAAAGGGTGAAAAACCAGAACAGAGGGGATGGGGATGTTTCGTGAGTGAGTGATTTAGATAAGAACGACACGTTCAATTACTTATCTTTGAATTGTTATTATTTCTTTTATCTAATATTCATCAACGTTGACTCTGTTAATTTTTTTCGCATTTCCACTGCGTCCGAGTATTCTTGTGCCGCGTCATTGAAATTGCAAATGGTCCCAGAGGATTGCTAAACGCCAAAGACACATAAATAAGGAGGTGTGGTAGATGCGTTTTACATGTGTTCGTATAATAAGGTAGGAAAAAAAGATCTGAAATTTGTTATACATGTGTATGATGTAGAAGAAAAGGAATATCAATTTCTTACCGTGTTACTTTGTACGCGTCAATTACTTACCGTATAACGACTCTCACATTTGCTTTGCTGCATTCACATGCGGCGGTATCCAACATTAAAATTAGAAGAACAAAGATAAACCGTCTCTAGCTAGCAAAGCATGTGCCAAATTTTAGGCCAAATTCACTTGCGTGTTAGTGGGCAAAGTTAATGAATATTTGAAGATACCAATTAGTGTTCACACTTGGTGTGCATACTGGAACGTGTTTCTCTCCCTTGTAATCAACTGGTGATTGTTCTAACTAACCCGTGCATAACGCGTGGACTTTGATGCATCTTCTTTGATGCACACGTTTTCTAAATTTAGTTTACAAGCTAGAGATTTTCCACATCTCGAATATTATAGGTAATAAATCACGGGATAGGATAGGATATTGTGACACACAAATAATGTTACGCACAATGTTACGACCACATCTTAATCGTAGATTTCCGTCAATTAACGGTTATCATTTTTCAAATCAAACTCATTAATTAATTATTAATTCGCAATAAATGATAACCGATGATTGACTGAAATCAACGGTTAAGATGTGGTCATAACATTGTGCGTAACATTATTTGTGTGTCACAATATCCTATCCCATCAATCACATGATAACATATCATTTTTCTTTCTTTTATTAACCCTTCAGAGCGCGTTGGCATTTTACTAATTTAATCCAAGACTCCTGGATTTTGGTTTTTGAGCATAATACACTTCACTTATTTGCTAACATTGAATAAATGATAAGGGAGTGTCGTCTACTATTTCAGTATTTCTTATATCGATTATATATTTATGAAAAAATACAGGAATTATATACAAAAAAATATAGGAATTTAAATTTTTATACATTGGTTAATTTGGACTAACATTTATGAGACATCATACACTAAATTTAATTTTTTTTATATAATATCTAAAATAAATATTACCATCATTAATAGGAATATTAAAAAACATAAAAGAAAATAAGAAAGATTTTTATTACTGTTTTACAGTAGAAGGTTTGCCATTAAAGGCATGACACAAGGGATGATTGGCTTTAGGCTTTTTGACACAGTGTTTGCAAATTGCAATTTCTTATTTTGTGTTACTAGTTGAAGTTAGATATATTGTAAAAAGTTGCAAAACCTTCTAAGTCATTTTATCTTCATTTTGTATAGTTTAATTTTTTCTTCAAATAGCAATTAAGAACAAAAAAAAAAGAGTTGTCTATTCTTAATTGCTATTTGAAGAAAAAAAGGGTCTTTAATTTTACTTACGTACAATTATGTATCGGAAAAATCTTTTTTTAATAGTTTAAATTGTTGACAGGACATTACAATTATTGACGTGAGAATAATTTTTTTACAATTATATGAGTTAAATTTGATGACGTGTATCTATTACTTATTTATGTCAATAATTTTTCTGACGTGGAGATGATGTGACACAATATTATATCTATTAATAAAAAGGGAAATCATACTCTTATGTTGCATAAGATGAATCTCTCATGTCACTCTTTTTTCGAAAAATATTATTTTTTTTTTCTAAAAATTAATGAGGCTCACTTTATTTATCTCTTAACACGAGAAAACTTCTCTCATCTTACATGAGAAAAGTAATCCCCTGATAAAAATCACAATAATGGATTTAATATTATTCTAATAAAAAAAATAGGTTTAATGTATTTAAAAAGAAATTATTATTGGAGTTGGCAACACAAGCTAAACAGGTGGGGAGAAAATCTAAGTTTAATTTTTATTAAATATATTTTTAGGGAGGGGTGAAAAGTTTGAAATGTGATTAAGTCCTAACTCGAAAATAGTCTCATAGTCATATCAAAAAGTTAAAGTTTATGAATATACCTCGATCCAACTCACCTCAAAGAGATAATTAAAGTCGGTATAAAAAAACTATAATTATGTCATAATTTCAATTGAAAATAATATTATTGAAAAAATAATATTTTTTATCTAGAATTCAACTTTTCAAATTAGGTAGGTTAAACGTGCCAAATGTTCAATATAATAATAATATGTGCTAGACTTTATAGCTTTAACATCATATATTTTATAAGGGGAAATTAATACTTGTGATATATGAGAGATTTTTTTTTTGCATGCACACATTATATGAGAGAGAAAAAAAATAAAGTGACCCTCGTGCCTTCACCTTTAATTTGTGTGTGCATGAGAAATTTTTTATCTCATATAACATGAGACTCTGTTTCGGGACAACGATCAAAATGCCACAATATTCACAAAAAATTACCAGAATGTCACATATCAGATTTTTTTTTTTTTTTTAAATGTCACGTAACCTAACTCGCTACAACACTTGACGATGTAGGTGTGGACACGTGGCAGCAGATTCATGGCCACGTAAACAGCTGCACAGAGAAGCGAGATTACGTGGCAGACAGCTTCTGCCACGCGTCATAAAATGCTAGGTAGCTTGGTGAAATTTTTTAATGTGCTCCAGGACCACCGTGGTTCTTCCACTCAAAAATTGACACCTGTATTAATTTTTTTCTCTTCTGTCTCCTCTCTCCTTAACTTTTTCTCTTCTTTTCTCACCTCAGTCCCACCAAATTTTTTTTGGTCTGGGACCACTCTAACTTCACTCGAGCTTGGCGTGTTACTTGTCTGACACGTGTCAAACTTGCTATGTTGCATAGCATGTTACATGTCAACTTTTCTAATATGTGGCCATACATGCCGTGCTGCATAACATATTATGTGTAAGTAACCCAATATTGGTTTGCATCATTGTGGTCTAATAAATTATATGATAATTTTAATTATTGAATTTTATATTTTGAAATAAAATGATTTAAGGATAATTAATATTGATTTGAATATTTTAAATTTAAATAACTTATGTTAAAATAATTTAATTTAGGACTGTTAATTTAATTTAATTTAATGTAGGAATGTTAATTAATTTAATTTAATTGAATTTATGTTAAGTTAAATTATTTTTAATTGTCAAGTAATTTAATTTAATTCAAGAGTGTTAATGAATTAAATTTATATTTATTAATTAATTTAGTTTAATTTTGTCTATGTTAATTTAAATTATTTTAGAACTTTTAATTAATTATTTTTAGGAGTGTTAATTAATTTCATTTAATTTAGTTTATGTTATGTTAAAAAAATTTGAACTGTTAAGTAATTAAATTTAATTTAGGAGTTTTAATGAATTAAATTAAATTTGTTTGTTAATTAATTTACTTTAATTTTGTCTATATTAATTTAAATTATTTTAGAATTTTTAATTAATTATTTTTAGGATCGTTAATTAATTTTGTTTATTTTAGTTTATGTTAAGTTAATTTTTTTTGAACCGTTAAGTAATTTAATTTAATTTAGAAATGTTAATGAATTAAATAAATTTATTTTTTAAATTAATTTAGTTTAATTTTTTCTATATTAATTTAAATTATTTTAGATCTGTTAATTAATTAATTTTAAGAGTGTTAATTAATTTCATTTAATTAAGTTTATGTTAAGTTAAATTCTTTTTGAGCTTTTAATTAATTTAATTTGATTTAGGAGTGTTAATGAATTAAATTTAATTTATGTCTGTTAATTAATTTATTTTAATTTTGTGTATATTAATCTAAATTATTTTAAAATTGTTAATAAATTATTTTTAGGAGTGTTAATTATTTTCATTTAATTTAGTTTATGTTAAGTTAAAATTTTTTGAACTGATAAGTAATTTAATTTAATTTAGGAATGTTAATGAATTGAATTAAATTTATGTTTGTTAATTAATTTAGTTTAATTTACTTTTATTAATTTAAATTACTTACACAAAATATGCTATGCAGCACAGCATGTGTGGCCATGTGTCAGAAAAGCTGACACGTAATATGCTCTGTAGCATAGCGAGTTTGACACTTGTCAGACACGTAACACGCCAAGTTGCCTAGCGTTTTATCTCGCGTGGCAAGCTGTGGCAGAAATCGTCTGCCATGTAATCTTACTACACTGTGCAGCGGGTTACAAGGCCATGAACCTGCTGCCACGTGTCCACACCTAACTCGACAGGTGTTATAGCGAGTTACGTGACTTGGCATTTTAAAAAAGATTCCATCCTGTCATATTGAGATAATTTTTTGTGTATAGTG